GGTATCGCCAAACGTTACAATAAGCAGGGAAGTTAAGAAAAACGGTGAAGCTTCCAGCTAGGGAAAAAAGAGAGGGTATTGCTAAGAAAAGAGACAGCAAGAAAATTATAAATGTCTGAGCAGAGTTAAATTAAATCAAGCTGGAATCAATGTACCATCTCTGTGCCTATAAATTATCTCTGCATCTAATGTCTTATGCTGTGGTAGAGCAGCTTCTACCCTAAATGAGTACATTTCTCCAACCAAAATCTGGGAAGAAGACTTAGGACTCATATTATATTCTTTAGAAAAGAAACTCCTGAGTGGTAGAAGCAGAATAGATTTAAGAGCACAACTAGACTAAGCGTTCTTTGTAAGGAGGAGGCCAGAGTTCAAGTTAGTTACAACAGTGACAAGAGTGGATCTGTAGGGTTGCCTTTGTGCACAAAGAGCAGCATATTATGCCGAAGTGAGCTGTGAAAAAAAAAAGGAAGAAAGAGGGGAAGGGGAGAGGGAGGGAGAGACGGGAGGGAGAAAGGGAGGAAGGGAAGGAACTAAGTTGCTTGCTGTGATCTCATGTACTCACTCACGCAGGTTAAGACAGAATATTGTATTTTAGTTATGAAACACATACATATCAAAGTACCTATGTTCAAGTCACTCACTGACAGTGTAGCTCATTAAAAATAATCCACCCATCACACGTGGTCCTGGTCAACAAACTCACTTGGATATTTAAGGAAGTCCCAGTATTTTTCAAACTACATCTCAAGAAATCCAAACTTAGGTAGCACCATCTAAGAGGCTCCTAGATTCTGTGTATGGGGTTGGGGGTAGTGGGGGGGACACCAAAGAATAGATTTGCTTCTTAAATCAGAACCACTCTGCTTTTATCTGTTTTCTCTAACAGAAATTCATGTAAGATTTCATTCAATAAGAGACTTCTACTGTTCAAGGGGAAATAGCAGAGGCAAGAATAGATTTGAGCCCTGTCAATGTTATTTAATAGCTCTGTGACTTGGGAAGATTAACTAATCTCTCTGAGTACTAGTTTCCTCTTTTATAAAACAGGTAGAACAATATCCCCAAGATCGATGTATGAAGTCAACAAGACACAGCATGTTCAGCACTCAGCAGGAGGCTTCAGCACATAGTGGGCACTAGCTAGTGAGTTCCTTTGCTGAAAGACAGGAAGAGACAGGCAGGCAGAGAGACAGACGGACAGACAGATGATAGATTTTACACACACACACACACACACACACACACACACACACACACAGTACAAGCTTCGACGGGCAGCTTGTCTTTAACGCGCAGTCATGCAAAAGCCACACTGAGAAAGAACTTGGGGGTCAGCAGCTTCACTCTTTTCTGCGTCTCCTGCCTGTGGCTGACACCCTAGTTACCAGCATCGATCCTGATCCTCAGCATCAGTCTACTATTCCTTCACTACCAGTGGTTTCCATTAGCTGCTCAAAGATACTTTTCCAATAATCGAAACAGTAGCATGTGTGGCTGGGGGTGGCCCACAACTGCGATCCCAGCCCTTTGGGAGCCTGAGGCAGGAAGATCACTTGGACCCAGGAGTTTGAGACCAGCCCAAGCAACACAGTGAGACCTCACCTCCGCAAAGGAGTATTTTAAATTTAGCAGGGTGTGTGGTACATGCCTGGAGTCCCAGCTCCTCAGGAGGCTGAGATGGGAGGATCACTTGAGGCCAAGAAGTTGAGGCTGCAGTGAGCCAGGATCACTCCACTGTCCTCTAACCTGGGTGGCAGAGTAAGACCCTACCTCAAAAGAAAGAAAGAAAGAAATGAAAATAACTATTATCATTTAGTTAGTTCACAAAAGCAACCAATCTAAAGAGCATTTTAAATAGACTCACCAATTGACTGAGATTAAATCTCAAACCATGCAACACCCTTATTTGCCATTTAAGAAAAGCACAGAAATAAGAAATAGAATGATCAAACAGGCACAATCATCAGCTAGCAAAATCCCCAGATGGCTATAGCAGCTCCTGAACACTTTCCATTAGCTCCTGTTGCACAGACAATACATGGCAGAGAAAAGCCAAGGGAAATGTCACTGGGAACACTACCCAAATTTAATGTCATTAAGATTACAGAAACCTACAATAACAAATTATTGCAAAATATGGAATGAAATGCCTACAGTAAATTTTGCTATACTAATTCTACCATTATTTAACTGTGTGACATTGGGCAAGTTATTTAACTGGAGCCATTTCTTCAGGCTTGAAATAGGCACTCAAACCTGCCATAAAGCCTGGTTATGAAAATCGCTTCTGTGGAATTCTTGCCAAACCCACACCCTCAGTCTAATCATGAGAAAACATCAGACAAGTCTAAACTGAGAGCCCGCATACAAAATAAGTGGTCAGCATGCTTCAAAAGTGTCACGGTTATGAAAGACGAAGGAAGTGTCATAGGTAAGAGGAGACACGCCAGGTGAATGCAGATCCTGGATTTGACACTGGACTGGGAAAAGGGCTAATGAAAAAACTGGCAAAATTTGAATTAGGTCTACAGTCAATTTCCTGGATTTGATAACTATGATGATTATTCAAGAAAAAGCTTGGTGAAGGGTATACAGAAATACTCTGTACTAATTTTGCGAATGTGTACATCTAAAATTATTTTAAAATTTAAAAAATTATTTTAAAAGGCTTGTTGTGAGAACTACATACAAAATCAAAAATTTTAAATCACACCTATTTTTTTTTGCAGGCATTATTCTTTCATTTAATGACTCTACTTAGAGACTGTTAACAACAGAAACATTATGTTAATACTGGCCAATCCTGGCTGGGAACCACTAATAATGAAGCACATTGTTCAACTGCAATAAAATGTGAACACTTTATACTTCAACGGAATGATTACAAATATTTCACTGTTGGCACAATACAATCATGAGTTAGTGCCTAAAGAACTATGGACTCTGTGTTTGGCCAATGATGACAGGCTTAAATTTACCTAATACCATCAGCATTTACACATAACACGTCAGATCTTCACTCTTCTAACTCTGTGACTGCTCTCATCTAGTCAGATTTCAACAGTTTTCTGTCAGGCAACACCTGGCAAAATAAACTGTTTTCATATAAATTGTAGACATCACATAATGAGTATGGAGTGATATGCTGTTATTCCTGATTCCCCCCCCCCCCCTTTTTTTTTTTTTTTTGAACTTGAGTTTATATCTAGCCTGGAGAGGCAAAAGCCTACATCTGAGATAACTAAAAATCCCCAATGCCAAGCATCTTACTCAAGATTTTGTTAAAGTAAATAAATAAATAAAGCAACTTAGGAATCACAATAGTCTATTTCGTTCTAACAAAGCACCACAAGGCTTATCCACTTTTGATTCTCACCTCGGGGAGTAAGTGCACAACCAAAACTAACAAGAGTAACCTGGCTATTTCTTAGTTTTTGATGGAACCATTCACATAATATACTTTTTTTCTATTACACTATATTCTTGCAAAATAATTTTTGTTTCCTACAAAGGTTATGAGATATCATAAAAGTGTCTAATGCATCTGGTTTAAGAATCCAATTCTTCCTTCACATATTTCTGCATCTGTTCACAAAATCCCTTTGACTTCAAAGGAGGCTTTTCAAGAAAAAAAGAAGATACATATAGAAAAAGTGGCCATAAATTTTTAGTAGTCCTTTTCTAAGGCCATTTTAATAACAGCACTGTGGGACAAGTATCTCTCTCAGAAACCTAAAATATCACAAATGGTATTAATGACTACAGATTTGTATGAAGATTTATGATTGTAAAACTTTTTTCCAGTTGTAAAAGTGATATATCTTCAATTTAAAATATGTGAAAAACATGGAATGCTTAAAGAAAACTTAAATCACTTTTAACCACTATTTAGGAGAATCAAAGCAAAACAAAGTTCAAAATTGGTTGTTTCCTTCCAGCCTTTTTTCCTGTGTATATATTTATATAAATATTTATATATAAACATTGTAATCACACTATGAATACAATTTTCTCATTCAAAATACCTCATTAGTCTTTCAAACCACAATTTTTTAATAACTAAAATTATACATAAAGTTATACTTTTAAAATACTCTCACATTTAGTTCTTATTCTACACAATGCTAAATTTAAGGTTTGGAAACATTAATCTGTTCTGGAACTTCAAACATCTTGAAACAATCTAGATTAACAATTTTAATAACCCTATTCATAAATGCTACCGAAACAATAGCAGAGGTTTAAGAAAAAAAAATTTTTTTTTTAGCATTTATAATGATTTAGTGTCCTAAACTTCCTTAGGTGGCCATTGGTGGGCTCTAGTTTGGTTTTCTTTTTTCTTTGATTCTCTAGTCTCATGACATGCTCAATTCTTTTAGTTTGGAATGAGGGAAAGTTTGGGTCTAAGGCTTAGTTACTTTAGTAACACAGCAAGTTTAACATGCTGTTAACTATAAATATCAACTAATTCTTGTTCTGCATAATCATGCCCTCAAACTTCAAGGAGAGGAATATTTGATGGGTTTACCTAATTTTGAGGCAATTCTTACCTACCATTGCTGTTGAAATTTAAAATAACCTTTGAACAGCTGTAGGTTGATAAAGAGTTTCGGATACATTGTGTCCTTTATTCTTACAAGAATCTTGTGAGGCTCATATCAAGGAAGAAGGTGAAACTTCAGAAAATATATGAGATGGTTAGAAAGATAAGTTGAACTTAAATCTCGGTTTTCATCATTACACTCAGTGGCTTTGCTTGGGACCCATAACCGTGGGTTTTACAAAGCTCGACAGAACACGCCGGTCAGCCCCGCCCTTCCTCCACCCAAACGGCTCCAGAAAAGAAGCCTGGAGACACTGTGACACGACACTGTGACACGAGCAAATCGCAGCAAAGCCCTTGACCTCTGGCTTCCTAACTTTCTAGTACTCTTCCCAACCCACCACGCAGATCGCCATGAACATGCAGAGGTGCCACAGAAGCACCTCATGGTCACAGACTCCTCTCTCCAGCGTCACCAGAGGACACAGCCGCAGGGAACGCCCGTCCCAGGGTCCCCAGCGAGGCTGCATTCGCAGGACGTTTGGCCCACGTCTGCATAAGGGGCGCGCACGCGCCCGACCCCTTTTGGCGCCGGGGGGGGCACTCCAAAGAGCGAGGAGCCGAAGGCTACGGCACGGACCAACACGACAAGGTCAATGGTCGCCGCAGGACCTCCCCGGCCTGCCGTCCTGCTCGCGCAGAGCCTGCTGGAGACCAGCGCGCCGGGGGAGGAGCTCGGGCGGCGGCTGCGCTGGCCCTGGCTCAAGCGGCGGCCGCCACAGGGAGGACGCCGCGGCGCGGCGCCCCTCAGACGCCCGGTCCCTGACAAGCCATCTCTTCCGATTTCCCCGCAGGCCCCTGGCTCGCCGTTCGGGAAAGAAGGGCAAAGACAGGGCCGAAACGAGGAGGAGGACGGCAGTTCCGGCACGGCCGCGCCTCTGCACACGTCACGCCAGGGGCCGGCTTCTCGCGTTGCCCGGCAACGGGGACGGCGCCGCACCTCCAGGGCCCGAGGCGGCGGCCGCGGCGTTCCACCGCGCGGCGCGCTCCTCTCGGCGGGGGGGGGTACGTCATCACGTAGCCTTCCCGCGCCGCCACGGGGCGCGGTCGTGGGCGAGTCGCCTTTGGGCGAGGGAAGTTTCCAGACGCTCCCAAGGACATAAACGGAGGGAGGGATGGGGGGTAGAAGGACCTCGCGGGAGGGGAAGCCGGCGGGAAAAGGGTAGGCCTCGGTTACCTGGGCAGCAGGAACAGCTCCAGGTCCTTTATGAAGTGCCCGGATGGAGCTCCAGCACCCACGCGCCTTCCGCACTGAGCGCAGCGCCATCTTGAGAAGGGCGCGCGGAGGGACGCTGGGATGACGTCTGCTCGGACAGCCAATCCCAGCCCCGCAGCCCCTTTGGCTGACTGCGCATGCCCGGGCCTCGGGGCTGCTCGCCGAGCGGCGGCCCGCGAAGCGGGTTCTTGGGGCGGGGTTGGAGGCCGGGGCCCCTCGCTTTGCGAAGGCCTCCTTGAGGGAGGGTCTCCTGGGGGGCAGTCCCGACTGGCGGGGAAGCCAAGGAGGTTGCCTTTCCCACCCCGGCCATCCGAGGTCCCTTTTAAGGCGTTTATCCGGGGATGGCGCCTCCCCGTTCTCGTAGGGGCCAGAACGTCGCCTTCGGAGGCCGAAGTGGCCGCGTTCGCTCGTTGGATCCGCCAGTACTTGTGCCTCCCGCGCGCTGGGCTCTGAGAGCACCAAGAAGGGCGGAGCTTGCCTTCCGGACGGGCAGCCTCGGGTGGCTGATCAGTAAATGATGGACGCTGATGTCGACGTCAGAGTAGGAAGCACCAAGTTTGGAGAGGAGAGGTGGTCGGAATGGCGGTGCGCGCACCTGGCCCAGGAAAGTGAAGAAAGGGTTTGGTTTGCGGTTGAATTGGGAGAAGGGCTAATACAGTTCTCCTGCTTCTTCCAGCCAGATTAAGAATCTTTCGTTGAAAATATCGCCGTCGGCCGGGCGCGGTGGCTCAGGCCTGTCGTCCCAGCACTTTGGGAGGCCGAGGCGAGAGGACCGCCTGGGCCCGCGGGCTCGAGACCCGCCCGGGCAGCATGGCGAGACCTCGTCTCTACAAAAAATCAGCCGGGCGTGGTGGCGCGCGCCTGTAGTTCTGGCTCCTTGGAAGGCTGAGGCGGAAGGATGGCCGGAGCCGGGCAGGTCGAGGCCGGGATGGCCGTGAGCGCGCCGCCGCCCTCCGGCCTGGGCGATGGAGTGAGACTCCGGCCCCAAAAATAGATAATGTGTATATCACCGTGAGAGATTCGTGAGGGTGCCCTTTTGTATTTTGTTGTATTCATTTCTTGCAAGCGGTTTTAGAACAGGGAAGCGTTCAGACATCTTTTTTATCGGTTCACGACCTTCCCCTGACTGACCAGGCCAGGCCTGATCAGCCTGTGGGCTGGAATGTGGATTTACTAAGGCAGCACCTAGTCATAGAAACAATAGGAAATGACCCCACACACAGACATGATGTTTTAAGAAAAGCCCAACTCTAGTTAAGCAATAGCTTTAATTAATTAGAAGGTCTTTGTGACCTTAGGAAGTTGATTGATAGTAATCAACACTAGTGACCAGATAACTGTAGCTCACCACTCTTAGTGTATGGTTAGCTTAATAATTATTGTAAAAGTGTATAAAGTTTGTCAAAGGCAAGTGCGTGGGCTTTCTCCCAAGAGGCCCTAAGCTGTATGGCGTGTGTGTGTGTGTGTGTGTGTGTGTGTGTGTGTGTCTGTCTGTCTCTCTCTGTCTCTCAACAAAAGGAGGTGAAATCTAGCAGAGTAAGACAAAACATAATAAGTTAAAAGTATATGCAAAGTACTGGTGAAGTTTAACCATAGTTGGTGTACTTCAGAAGTGAGCAAGGAAGGGAAGAAGGAAAAAAACCTAAGCAAATCACAATTTGTTCTTCAACAAAACCGTTTGGTTTTGGCTGTTAAGTTTGAGGTGCTTGTAGTACTTCCACCTGTGATCCCCATTAGACAGATACATGGGTCTAGGGCTCAGGAAAGATTTGAACTACAAAACAGATGGTTATTGAAACTAAGGAAGTCTTTGAGACCACCAGTGAAGTTTGCAGAATGAAACATGGAGCAAAGCATTGCAATATAGTTTTGTACAGACATGCTGTTAATGAGATTATATGACTCTAGGAATTAGAAGATTGGATTTCTGACATCCTGAGCCATCCAGATTTCAAAATAAAACCAAGCAAGCGATAAGACTGTGGTGCACAAAAGCTGTCAAAGGGTGTATCCACTTTGTTTCCTCACTCAGTAGTTTGGTAGTCTTATCTGCTGGCTCGTGTGACTGGTAATATTTTCATGGGAGATATTTCTAAGACATTCCTACTAAAGAAGGTGTATCAGAACACAAGTTTGATAACATCAATATCCTGATTTTTAAAAAATTATTATTTGTTACCTTTAAAACTGTTAAACGTAATGAATTGTGTTTCACACCATGGCAGTGACCAGATAACTCAGCTAGGTTGTTTCTTGGACAAGAACTATAGTTCATATTTCTTACATTTCCCTCATCACCTAGAATAGTGCCTTGTGCAGAGTAGACACATCCTTTAAATCTTAATTTAACTTTAACAAATTACACAACTAATTGTCCAAGATTGATATGTTTTTGACAGGCAGAAGAAACAGTTAACAACAGAAAAGACACAGGACCTGTTAAAAATGGACCAGTTCTGTCTACTTTTGTACTTTTCACAATAAACATTCTTGTGGAAAGATGACCAAAAATCTCACCAGCTTCAAAGAGGAGCGGTGTATTCAGCTCTTTATATTTACTTATATTAATAAGCTTTTTTTTTTTTTTTTTTTAAGTCCGAGTCTCATTTGGTCACCCAGGCTGGAGTGTGTGGCACACTCACAGCCACCCCAGCATCTACCTGCTGGACTCAGGCAATTCTTCCACCTCAGTCTTCCAAGTAGTTGGAACTACCGGGACATGCTACCATGCCCTGCTAATTTTTTCATTTATTGTAGAGACGAGGTCTCACCAAGTTGCCCAGGCTGGACTCAAACCCCTGGGCTCAGGCAGTCCTCTCACCTTGCTGGGATTACATAAGAAGTTTTTGATAATGGCAACCATGAATCTTCAGGGAAAGTTTGTGTTATTTGGTGTATCTTTTAATAAAATTTCTATAATACACTTTTGAAATGTTTTCATACAAAATGGTTAACATTTTAAAAGTGTATATTATGCAGTGGTCTGTTTGGTTATATGGAAAATTCATCTATGGAATGCCTCAATCTCTGACAGTGTTACTTAAATGAAGCACCACTGAATTTAATGACAGTATTTTACCTCTACTATCGTTTGGGTAAGCTGAAGAACTTTAGTAAAATGAGATATAAATGTTGTATTGAAAGCAGACTTTAAACATACTTAAGATTAAAACCTTATAGTGCTGTGCTTATAGCATGCACTATATCTCTACATATGGTCATGCTTACAGTTTTAAACACTTGCTTAAAATTTGATTTCTCATCAACACTTTTATTTTATAGTAAGTTCTGGTAATTTTGCTTTCTATTTAACATTCCCTGCAAATCCTCTCTTGCTAGAAACAACAGATTAAAACCAGACTGGCAGTTGGGGAGCAGTTTCTATTGCAACCATGTGTGTCAAAAGAAAGGATTAGGTTTCCTTGTCCAGGAACATCAAGGGAAGCCTCCACCTCTGCAGACACACCTCTATTCCTTAGTAATGAAGAGTTTATACCTAGTTAGATTTAAGTGGGATAAGGGAAGAGTTTAAATCTACCCTGAGCTCAAGTAGTATAATCAGCCCTAAAGTCTCAAAAGTATCCAATTTTGTTTCTCTAATTTAATTCTAAGTGTCAGGTTGGTGTTAGATGCTGATGGGGGTAATGGAGAGTTGCCCTACACGTTTATTCACTTAAAGAAGAATTTTACAGACTGCAAAGACGAGAGGGCAATTGCATTTAAAACTTACTTAAAGCACAGCTCATTTACCCCTGACCTTTCATTTATATTGCATGTTTTTTTTCTAATATAGGGTAGGAGATTCCATAATAAAAGCAAACTCTTCTCTTCACAATTATGGTGTACAGCTACAGTTTTCCAGCCATACCATCTTATGCTGGATCCATCACAAGGAACCAAATCAAAGGAGGGCAGATTCTACCCCTGAGTGACATGACCTCCAAGAGTCACTAAAGTATATGGGAAACTTTAATAATGATTCAGAGATTGTTCTTTTTTCACTTGGCGTAACTCAAGTTCTACTCCTCATTTTATAGCTAGTGAAACGGTCCACAGATACTAAGTACCTTGACCAAAATCACACAAGAAGTAAGAGCAGAAATGAGAAGAAGCTTGAATCTCCAGCTGAGTTTTCTGCTTCAAGTGACACCATTGTAAAGCTGAAGAGCTAAGGCTGGGTCTGGTCCAAATGGAGAAAGGGTTCACATAAAGCCAGTCCTTGTGTCAGTCTTCAGATTCAGAACAAGCAAATGTCCGATTTTTAAAAGACTGGTGCCCCCCCTCACCACTAATGTTAAAAGATGCAACATTTTTTCTGGTAGCTTTTGGGGGATAGAAAATTATAGCATCTTAGTGTAAGGACAAAAGTCAGGCATATCTTATCTTTGGGAAGACTTAAAGGGTCTCGAGAGAGGTATTGCTGTCTTTTTCTTTCTGGAAAATACCATCCAGCAAAATCAAGGAAGAGACTAAATGATGTGAATAGTAAAATGTGATTTTCTTTCGAAGTACCTTTATTTATTTATTTTTTTAATGAAAGAAGGCCACAATTTTGATGTTTCCAGATTCAGCTTCTTGCCTTAAGGACTGTGTTTCCTACTCCAAAACAATGAAGATGTTTGGATGAGAGTTAGGAGAAGGTAGGGAGGTGAGAAGAATCAGAGCAGACACAAGTAAATAATTTGCATGTGTTAAACTTCAGAATACTGATTCCATTACTTGTAGAGTTCTTAGTGGGCAGTACCAAGAAAAGTGCTGATTACATAGAAATGTTACAGGCCCTAGAATTCCTGATAATAGTTAGTGTTTTATCACTTCCAAATGGCCATGTCAACATTAGAATACAGTTCTCTCTCTTCTTTCTTTCTTTTTTTTTTTTTTCTTTGAGGCAAGGTTTTACTCTGTCATTCAGGCTAGAGTGCAGTGGCACAATCTCAGGTAACCACAGCCTTGATCTCCTGGGCCCAAGCAATCCTCCCTCAGCCCCTCTCCCCAAGTAGTTAGGACTACAGGTGTGTGTCACCACACCTAGCTAATTTTCCTATTTTTTGTAGAGA